TATTTGGGTCCACAGAACTTTTATTTTACTTAATAATGGTCACACATTCAGGAGTAGTGAAGCTGGTGACTGTATTACAGCATGCTATTGTACCTATTCTTAGTTATAATCTCTTATTGTACCTACTTTATAAATTATGCTACATTATAGTTAATAAAAGGAAAAGTACTGTATGGGCTTTTCTACTGTTGGGTTTCAGGCACCCATCCCCTACAGATAAGAAGTCTGTATTCTGTTACAGGGCCATTTTTCTTGGTGGTGCTACGAATTAAATCCAGGGCCTCAGGGCACATTAGGCAAGAACTCTATAACTGAGTTATACCTCCCCTCTTAAAGGATCATTTTAAAGAGATGTCATCCAAGTTTTTGGCCCAAATAGCTTGGCTTCTAAATGGAACTGAAGATAATTCCTTCCATTTCTCGAGAGATTTCTTCCATCAGGCTTGGGATCTGGAAAGTAGGGGGCTGCAAGTATGGAAGTCAGCCTTTCAATACAGTTCCCCGCCCCCAAACCCCAAAACCAAACCCCAAAACAAATAAAAAAACCAGTCTAACAAGGGCTGACCTCAGCTGCAGTCTTCCATTCAGTTTCCCTCTTGAAACTGAAAAGCCTGGGCAAACCCAGATGGGCAGTTATCAAGAGTTCAGCTGCTCCAAACCCACACTGGTCTCAGCTCACAAAGACAGAGCCAAAAAAGGAGGATAAGCCATGTTGAATGGGCAGCCATTTACTCACCAGTGCTCCTAGCTGGCAGCTCAGAGTCAGAGGTGATTCTCTCCCCACCCTACCCGCCACCACTTTCCTTAGCTCACCCAGGCAGGGTACCATCTCCCCCCCCTCCCCGCCACCACTTTCCTTAGCTCACCCAGGCAGTGTACCATGGTAATGATGATGTCCCAAGAACAGAGAGGAAGTGCCTCAGCCTACAAAGCCACACTTGCCTTCTGAAAGTAGTGGAGCTGTTTAAAAGGTGCCCAGTGGAGTATGAAATCTAAAGAGGGGATACTGAAATTCAAGGAAGAATTGAGGGAGGTGGGTTGTGATTAGTGAAATTGAAATCTGTGCAGACCATTCAGTGCATCACGATGCCATAAAAGGAATGCTGTGAGCCTATTATGTTACTTTATTCTACCTGAATCAATTAATATGGCCTAAATGATTAAGAAGTCTTAATGTTCCATTAAATACAAATGATGAAAATGAATAAACCACAAGCAAAAGATGACTGCCTTCATAGAGGACTAGCCCAAACCACAACAGTTCTTTAGGGAGGGTCTGAGATGGCTGTTTTTACCTACCATGATACATAAGCACGTGTTATAAAATTCACATGGTGCTGGGGCTTTGGAGCAATGTAACTGAAAATTGTCCTGTTTATATTCAAGTAGCAACTCAGGCTGAAACATTGCAAAATGAAAGTGTGACAGCAAGTGACTGATAAAGAGCCTGAGGTAATGTCACCAATTTGGTTGGTACCCTTTCCACAGAGAATAGACACATTGCAGCAGCTGCCAGGGACACCCACTGCAAGTGCCGCCTTTCTTGATGCAAGATTTTATCTGGCTCTTGAAAGTTGTGGCCCCAGTTGCCCTATCCTCATGTTCAGGCATTTCCCTTAAGCTGGAAGCCACCAGGCAAGTCACAAATACCACCCTGGAGCTAGCAATGTACATGGTGCTCACCCTCTGTGTGTTGCATGCCCATTGTGGACAACCCTTGGGTTGCCACCACCTTCAGAACATTTTCCGGGTTCAAGCTATACTCTGAAAAGGGGCAAAGCTTGATGTTAAAGAAATGGTTTGCACTTAATCAGGAGTTTTCTCTAATTTACCAATGTCCTTCACATCTCATGAATGCCCCACTACCCTTGACTATAAAGTGACTTTGAGGCCAGCCGGAGGGACAGGAGATCCTGTCTTTTAAACACAGAAGGACCAATGACCCTAACACCCCAGTATGAGGCAGGTTAAAAAAATAAATAATTCCAAAACAAAGATTCAGTTTTAACATTTTATTGGGTAAATGATTTTAAAGGTAATAACAATAGTGTCAAAACTACTACAATATCTTTCCACAGCCATACCATACAGACCCACATAAACCTTTTCATATTTTTTTCTTTTTTGTTCATTTTTAATATTTTAAAGCCATACTATAGGTCATATAAAATGCCCACTTCCAATAGCTTCTTCAAACTAGTAAGCAATTCAATCTGGAAGGAGGGAGGACCTAGTTATAATGAAGGGGTTTCAGGTAATCCATGATGTCTCACTGTAATATAAACACCAGGTTACTAAGAAAGGAAGGACGAGCTACTCCAGGTAGCTTTTTGC